CTAATTAGCAACAAAAGAGCACTAAATTTTTGACCTATCGCGAATTTGATTTTCGATGGTGGGGGGTCCAGGTTAATGGGGGTTAAAGGCTTAAGACCGCGATACAGACTTTTGCATAACGCATAGTGCATAAGAGCATAAACCAATCAAAGTTCTTTTTTTCTGTGAAGTGGAAGGAAAGAAAGGATTCAGATTGGTTGATTCTTTTATGCGTTATGTGTTATACTTTATGTAAAGGTCTGTGTCGCGGCTCTTAGGACGCTCATACGGAATGTTAGAAATCTGGGTTTGACTGGGTTTGGCCGAGGTAATATTTTTCGTAATAAATTTTTTTTACATATTTTCAATATATCTTAAAATGATGCCAATTAAGCATCAATTATTAAATTGCTAATAAATTTAATTTGTGATATTACTATAGTAATTCAGTTACGTTTCTAAGCCCGGAAAACCAATTCGGCGCACAATTCAAGAGAGACTACAAACGTGGGATATAAATTAGAGATCATTTTAAATGTTCTCATTCTAAATGTATTGGATCTACACGTGTAATTAATATATCCGTGTTTCAATCCGTGTAATTTTTAATTCACGGGTACATAGATATATTGAAATACTCAAGTACACGTGTATTGAAATACACATGGTTTGAAAAGCACGTATATCCGTGTATTAATTTCAATATACAGTTACACGCGTGCATTGAAATATACGGATACACGTGTAATATATTTTATATATATTTCATGTGATTCATAGGTATATACTATATGTATGTTTATATAGAAAAAAAATATATACATATACAAAATGTACACTTTATACCCGAGACATTGTCTCCTGATTATGTCATCATCTACATCGTATCTATATGTGCCACTATTTCTAATAAGAATCATTGATGCTCACAAATGTTATTCTAACATAGCGCATCGATGCGTCAAGATAATAACGATTATCGGGAGTTATAAATTAATATCTAAGATTACTCACCTTGCATAGGCCGCGTGGCAGCGCTGCGTGACATTGTTTGCGTGGTTTAATTTTAGGCTGTACTTTCGAGTTAGGCGTTTGTGGACGGAGTCTGTCGATATATCCGTCAACGCGGAAGATGACAGCCGTTAAATGGAGCGACCTTCCGGCGCGACGCTGGTCGGCTGTTGTAAAGTAGGCATCAAATGCGCGTTGACGCGGTGTAAAAACGCGATGCGTAAAAAATTTTCCTTCTGCCTGGCGAATAATTAACGTCGTCGTGTTCAGATGCCACGTGGGATTGTCCACGGATAGGATCGTCTCACTGCCAACAGCTACAGACGATTCTGGAGTGCAACGTCCTGTTTCCAGAACGTTGAAGAAATGACGCGAAATCAATGATTTTTCCACCGCAGGACGCAAAGAATGAAGAGGATCGAGGCACGTAGGTGACGAAGGGGATGATGTTCTTGATGGTTTTCTCGCACAACGATCACCACTGCTGAAGAAGAGCAATGAAAGATATCTCCTGCTAGATATTCGACGGCGTTGACGGCGATATAAGAGACGGTGCGGCGACACCGTGACCACGCTCAAGTCGGATATTCCGCGGCGAGATAATGACGACAGGATATTCGGTGTGGGGGGTACGGATGGTTCTTTGGGGGTGGCGTCCATGTGGGGTGGATAGTCACCTCCGATCTTCCCTCCCGCCTGCGAACCACCTCTTTCTCCTCCAGGATCCCCTTCTCGTCCTCGAGGTACCCCAGTTTTCGGTGGTGCCCGCGGACACCACCCTCGCACGCCGCCAAGTCTTACCGATCAGCTCCCACGTTGTTAGGTCTCGTGGGTGCAAGCTGTAACAAGGAGAGACCGCAATCGTTAATTCTTTTGCTTTATTATTCATTCAATGAAAAAACATCAATAAATTCTTTCGATTTTTCTTAAATATTAGTCTCGCTTTAAGATTTATTTCTATAAACATACATATATGTAAACATACATACATATATTATATCAGAGGAATGTATTTCTAGGAATCTTGCAGTTTATTAATTTTTTCAACATTATATTATAATTTTTTTTCAATATACTTCTTTTTTAACTGAACATACTTGTCCCATTGCGAAACTATTTTTCTCATTGTGTATCTATTGCTCGAACCGTCAACATCTCTATGAGAGTATCTCGTTCTTTTCGTTATTAAATCGGACAATTTAATAATAATAGTGTTACGCATGATTCGCACAACTCTTTGACTTCATCAAATCGGATAATTTGATGACAAAAAATTCGACAAGTGGACATCTAATAGTTTTGACCATTAATCCTTATGAATAAGCAGACAATTATCAAGAATATTTGTTTTTCTTTTCGGAAATAGAAACTGATAGAGCATCGTGATGTAAATCAGATACTCGTTAATTTTTTATCGATTAAAGTAAGTTTTTTATCGATTAAAAACCTAGATGTTTGTTTCTATAGCGGTTTCACCGTCGATAAATAAACTAATATGTAATATATGAATATATACTATGGAAATGATTTAGATCTAGATAGACTCTAGATATTGACACTTATGTTGCTTATATCTATGACAAAGAAAAAACTATACATTAATAGTATAATCATATCGATTATCATTCATGTTTATTAGGTTTATTAGGTTTATTATTTATCGAATTTTACTTCTATTCGCGTATTTGTCATTTGTAATAAGATATACAACATAGGATCTATACTGTTTCTAAATATTTTCACTGTTGATCGACACTAAACGCAGCATTAAATTACAGTTGACTTAAAGGTATTCTGTTACAATAAACGATTTTATTGTGTCGGATAAGTCATTACGAATCGAAACAAATGAGCTAATTGAACATTGTGCAATTCCCACAGGAGACTGAAAAATAGAAGCAATAAAACTCCTAAATTTTTGTAGCGTTTAATTCGGTAATTTTAGGATATTCATTATTATTAGAACATTAGTCTCAACATTTATTATTGTTACGTAAAATATAATAACAAAATAAAAAACTAACAACGCGACCAAATTACATATCAAATACTTAATAATAAAGAATTATATTAATGGCGACTAGTCACGAGAATAGAGTAAGCTGGAATATGGAACGCATGAAATCCAGTTCTCAATCGTGTATCTCAAGGACACATCGACATAGGTCGTATTTCGTTGCTACACCACCCCGACCATATGACCAACGATATACATAGGCCGATGGTCAATCGAAGCAGAGTCGCACCAACTACTACCCTCGTTATGTATTCACGTATCCTTGATTCATAGCAAAGTTCTGCCGCGTCTGACGTGTTCGCGAACGGCAAAAAATCGTTTATTCGCAAACCGCACTCCTTTTCGATGACATAAGTAAGGGCTCACGTTATGGCTTTGCACAGACGACTTTAGGTCTCGCGTGCGTTTCGTAGTTCTTTTAAAAGAGTCACGTGCGCATTTGATGGGAGACTGTGATGGAAACTAAGAAATGTATAGCCCGAAGATTATCACGCAAAATTTTCTTGCTTTACTCTGTCGCCTTACATTAGCTTTTTTATTGCACTAACATAAAATATCTGTTGATCCGTGATTTATTTGTTGCAATGAAAAAAAAAATTTAAATATATTAATTCTAAATTATATAGTCTTTTCGATAAGCGACACGTTCCTCGTCGTCGACGAGGAGATAATTGCGTTCCGTAAATGACAATTTTAGGAGACCTCGTACGCTCAGAAACGTTTGACAAATAATCGCGTCAGCTTCTCTGGATAGAGAGCGGTGACGTTTGAAGGTTTCAGATGTTGGCATGAATGAGGCTTTAACGTATGCTTTATCGTCTATACGATGATAATTCAGTTAACGCCGTGCGTGGCGTACGTGGAATGAAATCTGTAACTGGAGATGGTATCGGGCATCAACTTACGCGAGCTCGTTTGGCTCGCACTCGGAACTAAGTTATCGTAATGAATTAACGGTTAATGTAGCTCTCGTATCAATGTCAGTCCTGTGTAAGTAACGCTGACTTAATAATAAAGATCGAATGACTTAATATTAAAGATAGTCTTACGACCGTGGGAATTTTTTTAGCTTTCATAAATCACACGGTAGAGTAGATGAATATCCATATATAATACCCCTATTATCGATCTCTTTTGCTAGTATATTTTACTGTATCAATCATTTATACAGAAAGCAATATGAAACTTTCTTTAGTTCACATAAAATTGATGGATTTAAAGTGGGATATTAAGAACGGATTTATTCATGTGTTTGCCAAGACTTTCAAAATTAAAACTTTAGCCCTGCCAAGTGATACGTATCTATTAATCTTAATTAATTTTAATTTTGAAAAATGTGTACGTATAATTCTTTCTTAGATGAATTTATTAACGAATTTATCATAGTAGTCAAAATACTAATAATAAAATCCATTTTCAATTCACTGTAAAGTAATGGCAGCACGTGTAACTAGGTACAGCTCGCCTTGGATCAATACTTGGAATATTTCTTTGCTCGAGTGGCCGAATATTTAGAGGTTTCATCGATCAATATCGTATAGGAAAATAATAGTAACATTGTATTATGGTAAAAGTTAAATAAATTAAAAACTTATTTAATATTTATCAACTTATGTAAAAAAAAATGGAGCAGGAAAATAATTAAACACAAATCAACACATATTAATATAACATAATCATAGTAGATCTACTACAATTACTAATACACATTTAAGTTTTATAACCAATGCAAATGATGTCTCTTTACTAAAAGCGTATAAATTGTAGGTATGCTGATGACAGAAAAGTTATCTTGAAGCGATAACATCTATATTATTCCATTTTATAAGACAAGTATAAAAAAATATACGCGCGATTCTTTTCACATAATAGCCTCAAATTTCGACATTCTCGCCAAGTAGATTGTATTCTTTTGAACAAATTATTAATTTAAAATTATTTAAATTTCTCTTTAAAAGTACATTTATACATAAGTGTATATGTTGCGAAAAAACAAGTAGGTTCTTTCATAAGAATCATTGAATGTCAAATTGCGTTCTCTGATGTGAAAGCAGGACTTGTTGAGACCGTAAACACTGGCTACGTTTAGCAGAGAAAATTAATCAGTTAGCGCTTAGTGATTCTTTAATATGATTGGTTCTTGCCTTTAATTCTTTCTTAAATCTAAGTGTAGAAACCAATCGTATTAAAGAATCACTAAGCGTTAATTGATTAGTTTCTGTCGAACGCAGCCATTTATATCCAATGAAACATTCGCGCATCGATATCTCAAAACGTATCGTAAATGCATGACGATAAGGTACGTAGGTATGTACCTCCCGACAGCGCGTATATCATAACGCGCAAAATATAGCTCCGGTCATAAAGCAATCGAGATAACAAAATCAACATGCTAACGTCCTAATCATTGCTCGCATCCTTTCGTGTACTGATTTTGTTTCAATGAATAATTTCTTAACAGTTTAGAGGAAGGCGTGTAGGCGAAAATAGAAGATACTGCAAGATAGTAGACTTTCGAACGTGATATAATCATGAGTATATAAAATGACTAATCGAATTTAAATATAAATTTGATATAATTATGCTGAAACATATGGCATATACGGAAATGTTCTTATATCTTGATCACGTATTCCATGAGTAATTGATATAAAAAAAAAAACAAGCTTATTTATTATTTCCAGTAAGAATTCATATGCATGCGACTGAAAAGAGAAAAAAAAATACGCACAAAATATGAATTTATATATATATATTCAATAATTACATTCGCGAAAGAATTGCACGAAAATATATCCTGTTTCACCTCAAGATTTTGGCATCGACCAGAAATCTTTAATTACAAGCACATAGGTTTCCAGATGCGACTTTTCTATTAAACTAAAAAAATGTATATACATATTTTTAATTAAAATAATGTTCGTTATCAATTTTTTGCCATTTAAATTACATGTTAATTATTAAAAAATATCAGTCTTTATAAGATGTATCCACGAGAAATCTTAGAAATATAAACCGCCGGAAAAAGAACGAATTAATTCAAATTTTATTTTCATATTAGTTATCTTAGATATGAATGTATGATAAGATGACTCGTGTATAAACTACCGCCCGTATTGTTCTCTAAACACTCGAGTCTCATACAGGAGTGCATGGATGTATATTAAGATGCATGTACCACCTGTTTGCTCGCGCCTATATTCCGACTACGTATGTGCGCAATCCGGATCCCTATTTTGTTATTTTGTTATGGTAATTACCTATTACAATTGTCATGCAAATACTTCCTTTACTGAATATCGAAACATATATATTACTTTAACGTGACTAGTATATAGTTACACATACATGGACATTTCCTATATTTACCAGTTTTTGAAATCCGAATTTCTCTCTCTCTCTCTCTCTCTCTCTCTCTCTCCTTATATATATATATATATAAAACATTGTATACTTCTATTACACAATATTAATTATAAATAAAATTATTGTATATAAATTTGTATGTGAAATTTAGTCATCAGTTTATTTTAATAATAATAGGTATAAGCTATATTTAGTAGGAATCAGACTACGTATTGAAGATTGAGATTGAAGATCAAAGATTGAAAGATTGAAATTTAATCAATCAAGGAGCTAAAATTCCTTTGTCCTTATCGAATTTCAATCTTCAATATGTAATCTGATTTCGACCTCATATGGTATAATACAATCTTATTAAAATAAATAAAATGGGGCTAGTTTCGATTACTTAACGTTAAAACTTGAAACTATTCAGTTGAATTCATTACTTTGATATTTTAAATATCAAATGTGACGATAGTACTCTTTCCATTAATTTTTTTATATCAATTATAAAAAACTTAACTTTTTGTACAAATTATATATAATAAAAATATTTTTTCAATGTACTTTTTTCCGCAAGAACATGCCGTTGGAAACTTTCGTAAATAATTGTAACAATTGCAATAGCAACATCAGCTTAAAGCCGGCCAATAGCTATGCCGATGCTGAGTAAATCAATGTTAAAAGCTGAGCCATGTATGCATATGCAATACGATTGATATCCACTTGGTATGTGTAGTTATCCGAATATGGATCAATATTTAGAGAATGTGCGTCATCATTGAAAAAGATGAACAGTGAGGAAGAGATAATTGTCGAGATAACTGTCACAGTCATTTTTTTGTGCGCAGTTTTTACATAAAATGAAAAAAAGTGACAAAAAAGAAAATGGAAAATGATACGTTACGTTATATTACGATGTTATTGGAGAAAATACGTTATTTTATACTGCAACTTACATAACTGTCAAATGTGCGCATTTGGTCTAGATCAATATTGGTCTCCTTTCATGTATTCAAAAAATCTTCAGCGAGTGTCATCCAACGTCAACATTAGCAATGCGAGATTCTAATTGGCCATATGAAATTTATACACATAACGTAATACGGTCAAACTGTCACACTGGCCAGTTGATGTACATTGACCATATTGTCTGGAGCTGGCTTAAGATTAGACCATCAATTGTGAAACTATTGACTAAAAATAGTTCGTAATTGCGAAAGTACGAGAACAGCAAGATATAAGATTATAAAGACGTTCGAGTTGTCAAATTCATCGACGTCCATTGCAACTGCGCTAAAGCTAAAGCAGTTGTCCGTTGAAAACCGCAGTACTATTATATAGTCTATTCTGACCGTAAGTTTAGGAAAAATAGCCGTCGACTTCGTCACGTCGAATATCGCAATATGCAATCGGCACGTTCATAAGGCGAACAAAGTAGGGTGCGTGTAGCCTGAAATCTGAGTCAGGATTTAGAAGTTGCTAGTTGTAGAACCGGTGGTATATCATACTTCCTCCGACAAATGACGAAGAAACATGTCAGGCATTCAAATTGAGAACATTTTTTTTACATATAAAACATAACTAATTCTTTTGTAAATAATTTCAATGTTATCGTTTGCTAGCATATTCATTTCGTAGCACATAGTTTACGTATACTCATTTCGAGTAGCTTGCACAAAATCTCTTAAAATACATGTATCTTATTGCAGAAAAATTACAACTTAAAAAAATTTAAACAGGAATTTCGATTTTGTTTTTGAGCGAAACTAAAGTTCTTGTTTAGAGCCAAGTTTTTGATAAAATCATCATTTCGTATGCGAAAAGTACTAAAAATATAAACAGAGCGTGTAGAAAAAATTATACGATGTTCTTTTCTTTTTCTGAAATAAAAACATTACGTGAATAAAGCGGTGCCTACAATGAGATTTTAAGGGGATAGAGGAGTGGCCAAATTGTCGGGACTTTGCAGATCGATATAAATCTCCGAATTTACTGAACGGAATCAAAAACCCTTTTACAAAATTAAAGTAGACGTAAAATTTGGTAGTGCTGCAATAAACTTTATACTAAAATCGAAAAAGAAGTTAAAAACATTTTTCCAACTCATAGACCTATCACGTAGATGTTTCCTTAATACAAAAGTTTTATAGCTCGTATAGATCAAACGACAGTGCAGCACTAAGCATATTACGTGCATAAACAGAGTTTATGAAACTAAGATTAAAAGCTTCACAAGATTTATATCGATCTGCAAATGACGTATATACGAACGCTGAGCGAAGACTTGGAATGATAAATAAAGCAATAATTACGTCTAGCAATAGGTATTCGATCTTGCAAGAGATGGCGTTGCAATATGTTAGATAAGGATAGATGAATGCGTTTGAGTGAGACATAACGATATAATAATAAATATAATATATTTATTAATTATTCATAATAATTAGAATGTAAGATGCCACTATTATCGAATTTGGAAATAAAAAAAGTACTTTGTCTGTACTATGACTTAGTCTGTATTATCGACCTCGATCACGTTCGGCCGTCGCTCCAGCATCCCTTTACCTCGGATCTACAATAGGTGTTTTAAGCCTTAAGTCGTAAGAAATTGATCAATCACAATCGAATTCGAGGAGAATAATCGACTATGATTCGTCTATTTCTTATGGCTTAAGGCTTAAAACTCTATTATAGATCCAGGGTTAAGGCGTATAATTTAAGCTTTAAATCTTAAACTGTAAGAAATTGATTAATCATAGTCGATTATTCTTCTCATATTCGAGCTTATTGAATAGGTAAGCGATCCATATCGATGTACGCAAATTGGTAAGATCACGACTGGCATTCGGCCAGAATCGCTGTTAACTTTTCCGCAGATCAATCGTTATTCCCTAAATATATCCAAGCTCTCTAATCACACAATCTTTACAAGAGAGATCAAAATTTTATAGGCTGTCCTGAAATTGACAGAAAGTGAACACATTTTCGAAATGTGAAATAATTTCATTTTCTCAGTAAAAATATTAACATCATTCTTTTAGTTCTTACGTAAATAATTCATAATAATTAACGAAATGGCAATAAAAAAGAAGCAGCAGTTGTGTAACACATAATCAATTATGTAATGCGTAATCGGTCAAAACTGAGATCAGTATTACATAGTGATATACGTATCTTTCGGAAAACAGATGGAATAATATGTTAGTAAGAATACAAAGTTTCATACGAAAAGAATGATTTTGTTGAAAAATCTAAAATTTTGCTAGATACAGATCTGAAAATAATTTTGTTGGATCATCAAAATAATTTTGTTGAAAACTCAAACTGATTGGTAAAATATCAAAATTTTTTGCAGGATAATTTTTGAGTTTCTAATATAATTTTATTTTGATAATCCAACAAAATTATTATTTTCAGATTTATATTCAGCAAAATTTTAGACATTTCAGCAAAATTATTCTTTCCGTGTATCTATTTTCAATGTAGTAATTAAAAAAGAATTTTATACGGGCAAACTAAAACGATCAATCTAAAGCGACGTGTACAATGAAATTTTAAGGAATAAAACTTGAACGTTAAGCCTTGAGTCGCAAAAAATTTACCAATCGAATTCACAGTCGAATGTAATGAGAATAATCGACTATGATTACTCAATTTCTTATGGCTTAAAGTTTAAAGTTTCATTATAGACATCGTTTTATGCGACTCGGTCTTCGTTTGCGATCCTTATGTAAATTTACGCTTTTTGTATGTATATCTAACTGTCCATAAGGCAGACGTATATGCATCCAAGAAAGGGTAATGTAACGCGTGATACAAACGACATTGTAACGTCATTTTCATTGATCGTTTAGTGGCCACGAGCAACATCAAGCAACTTGTCGTTCTCAGAACGTTGCAAGAATAAGTCGTTTAATTCACGAGAAAAATTCGGTCGTATCATATAAACCCATTTTTATAAACAAATTTTACGAATAAATTTGCCTATTTTGTGTGAATTTATTTTTACAAAATACGAATTCAAGGAAAGTATTAACGGCGAGTATTTATAACAAGGGAAGTTCCACAATTGTCCGGAACCGATTTGATTCTCCATAAAATATGTTGTTTCAAAGGAGTGTTTCACCCCTTAAACATGAGTAAGCGTACGTATAAAAAAATACGTGTCTCTTAGATTTTCGTGTTTAACAACAAATTTCATGGAGAATCAAATCAGTTCCGGACAGTTGTGAAACTTCCCTTGTAAGACATAGAATATTTGGTAACAAGTGTGTTTAGTAAAAAGAACGAAATATTCTTCGTTGAAAACTGAAATGTTCTTATATAATTCAGAGCAACATAATTCTTTTTTAAACTCTTCAAATTAAATATTTAAACTCTTTAGACGCCAAAATACAGTTACGGACACTAATGCTCAATTTCTTCACTTGCAGATAAGTTGCGGATAATCTTATCCAGGAGATCCATTGTATTCTGGGAGATATCTCTTGAATAAAGTTATCTAAAGGTGAAGAAACTGGGCATATGTCTGTAAAGAGGAACAGAGCGCTGAACGTGAAGCCAACATCTGTGCGAGAGAGAAAGCTAGAGAATCCCAAATGTTCGCAATGCGCATGCGCAGCACCGTCGTCTGTGTGAATTGTACAGTTGCGTTAGTGTTTCTTACATGTTCGTACGTTACACAAATGTAAAAAAGTAAATTAATTGCTGGTTTGATTTTGGTCTTAAAATGTTTCTAGAATTAATTACTGTAAGAATATCTCGGATTCGAATTTTTTGCTCATCATTTAAGTAAAAAAATTCGACTAACAGTGTAGCTGTGCTGGCTCGCATACAAGAAAGTATATTAAAGCAATTAATTGCTAGGCTAATTTTGGTCTTAAAATGTTTATAGAATTAGTTGCTCTAAGAATATTCCGAATCCGAATATTTTGCTCATTGTTTAAGTCAAATTTAATTCGTACTTTACTCTTGTATGCGAGCAGCACAGCCACACTGTTGGTCGATTTTTTTGACTTAAACAATGAGCAAAAAATCGAAAATAGAACAAAAAATTAGCAAAAAATAGCAAAAAATGTGGTATAGGTCGTGTTTGATTATGCTGAAATGGCTGTGCCAGCTTAATAGACGTAATAAAAAGAACACTAGAAACTGATGAATATTATGCATCGCAATAATAAACATTATAATGCAAATCATTTTCATAACATTTCTCTCTACGTCAGGTGTTCTGCACGAAAACGATAGGCGAGATCACAAACGCTCACCTTACAGACGGCTCTTCGTCGTCATATCTTAGCATAGTAAGACTTTCATTTAGCGTGTTCGCTCTTCGTTGGAAGAAACTCGCCCTTCGCACTCTTCTCCTCGCACACCCACCCACACGATAGACAGTCGGTGCAAACTGAGTCTCAATCAATCTATGACTTTCTCCGATCACTGCTCTCATCTACGTCATCACGACGGCATGATGGAATTCCCCTGCGGAAATTTTTCGCTCGCGGTTGAACGTCCTCGACAGCCGTTCGTACCGATTTGTCTTCGGCTCATATCACTTTCTTCTCAATATGCATATTTATCGATGCTTCGTATGTGTTCTTAGCATATCCAACGTGCGCTCGACGATCAATTGAACTTTCTTGCAGGGTCAAGATTGTGAAAAGATCTTCGATCGAGTGATTAACGTTGAAAAGGATGAGATGCTCGAACTTAAGGAACCGCGTTTCGCATTATAAGAAGAGAGATCATTGTCGAATTTGTTTTCCACACGATGAAAGGAACGAGACGAGAAAAACTACACCGATTATCGTTGTAAAAGGTTGATTGACTATCACCAGATACGTCACCCGAAAAAGCTTACGACCTTGCACGTCGCGATCGTTCGATTAGAAAAGCTCCGCAAGCTTTGAGAGCCGATCAGTCGAGAGCGACCCGCGATCAGGGCTCTCCTCGTTTCTCGTCTATCGTCCCAAATATAAATCCTCGGCAACAGTGCAACAGCAGCATGTTCCTCGATATTTGTAGCACGAGTCCCAGCAGTATTTATTGTTTCGCGAATCTTTACGTCCGGTCCGTTCATTCGTTCATCAATGAATTTGCTACAAAAATCTCGATCGTTTCTCGATCAAAATTGATAGCGACGATCCTCGCGGACAAGAAAGGCACTTAGACTTATCGTTCGTCACTGCTTCTCGCATCCGGTCACGTACGTTAGGCGCGGCGAGTGTCGATCGCATGTCACGGTGGCTCGTGCCGAGAGCGGCAGAGTGACTATCGCTCTTTGCCGTGCACGCGATAGACCAAACAGACCGTTCGGAAGCGCGCGCCCTGCTCGACTGACGCGGACGCGACGCGGGGCGATTGAGAAGGCGGCCGAACAAGGCCAGAGCCGTAGCACCGTGCGTCGCGACATCGGCCTTTACGACGCGGATGATGGAAACCGGTGTGGTCTCGCAACAGAACAGTTATCAAAAAATCTATTAATGAAACGATTAAGAACAAATTAAAGGCAATTTATCTAACTATACTGAAAGAAGTTTTTAATATTTATGATTAATAATTATGTGATAATTAATAGCTATTACTGCTATAATGTTAGTAATAATAATTATATTATTATTACAGTTCTCTATTAAAAAATCGCAATTACCATAATTGAATTAATTATAATTTATAACTAAGTTATTTTCGGTACCAATCTTGTTTGATATAATTATATAATTATTATTAATAACACAGTAGTAACAATTATAATTATAGTACTATGTAAGTGTTATAAATATCATAACTTCTCTCTCTCTCTCTCTCTCTCTCTCTCTCTCTCTCTCTCTCTCTCTCTCTCAATGCACTACAATATATTAAATAATCGGTTATCCTACACAATTAAAAAATAGGAGGCAATTCATCCATTTAAAATACAAAAAATAAGACAAATCCTTAATTAGTATGATTCGCATTCGGTATGATGATATTTTGAGTAGATTTAAACTACATGGAAATAAATTAAAAGTTCATCTCTTTTTTGTAGCAAGATTTCATCTTTCATCTTTTATCATAGTAACTGACAATACCAAGGAATAAATGACACCTTTGACGAAGAATTATCTCAAAATCTGATTGCATAAAATTAAATATAATCCCATTATAAGCGGTATATAGATAAGCGGTATAACATAATTTTATGAAATCTGATAAACCATATGAAACATATGAAGAGTTACATAATTATAATTTCATAATTCTCTGAATTAGATGCATGTTTTTGACGTAAGAAAATATTGTTGCAAAAAAAATAAATGTATTATTTCATTAACTATGAATGGAACATTTAAAAATATTAAGCACTAATTATTTATAAGTAGAAACAAAGTTACTGATACACATCTCGGATACAATAGAATCGAAGTTATTTAGGTCACTGAAAATACTGAAATATCATTCCTAAAATGCCAATGATACAATTGACATTTTAGAAATGCCAATCCGCGACATTTTGTTCAACATTTTCCTAAATATTATGGCATGTCAATACTAAAGCAATATATATTAACACTTTATATCCTTTAATCTCACGGATGCTGTAATGTACCAGATTTAAAGAATATTGCAACCCGTTAAAACAATGTAACAGACACAAGAATTCAACCTCACTAAGGATTGTCAAAAATTAAGAAAAAAAGCGAAAGAAGAAACTCTACATCTCAACCCTAAAAAAAACGATTAATTTAATCAGCACCTTTGCAATTTATCGTATGTCATTCTTTTTTTATATAGGTATATACACGAAAAAATGGTTTTATTGAAATATCTAAAAATTTAGCTAGATATAGATCTGAAAATAAATTTTGTTGGACTGTAAAAATAATTATATAAAATATTCAAATTGATTGAGAATGTTAAAATTTTTTGCAGCATTGCTCATCATGTTTAAGTTTCTTACATAATTATTTTGATTCAATAAAATTTATTTTCATATCTACGTCTACTTAAATTTTTAGATACTTTAGTAAACTCATTCTTTCGTGTATGCGTGAGCCGATAACATATTAATTTCATTAATTGGGAATTAGATAAGTACTACGCGTACGTGATATTGAGTTCGTCCTGCGTCGCTCTTCTGCGAGTCGATACCTATTAAGTTCCTCTGGAAACCAACGTCCACGAACGCCGCAGTTATATTATTCAACGAGCTGATATAATATTTATGAATAATTGGGTAGAGATAGAGTAATTTTGAAAGTCGCGTGATGAAAGAACCAATGGAAACCTCGACGATGCCAAGGGTTTCTCGGTCACATACGATCGGGTGTTATACGTATTTCGGGTATTATGTCAGGATACATCAAGTACAACGAAGATGATACATTATCGTCGAAACAGTTTCATTTGTCTGACAAAGAATGAAGCAGTTTCAATTAAGCCATGTCGTCAGTCTTAAGACTCGTAATGTCACATGTTCTTTCAAAAAATGTGATTTATACATGTGATATGCTTAAAAATAGGTGAAAATAAGCACGCGATCTATACAAGGGGAAACATTCGAAATAGCCTGATGTAAGAATATTGTACATCATCGGTTCTATTAATAATAAGCGTGAATTTGCCATTTTGTGAAAATTTTGATTTTATTGATCTTCTGACAGTCCTTTATAAAGTGCAATAATTAGTTACGTCTGTGAAGTTGGAACCCCCAATATTAAAAAAAAATTCGCCCGAATACCATAATTAAGTGTTAATTTATTGCTAATTTATTGCTCTAGTCCTGAATTTTTTGCTCTTTTCCATCCGCAGGAAATTAATTTCATAAGTGGAGGTGCTGACTTGACGTTACGCTACATGGAAAAAAAATTGGTTGAATTAATCTGAAATCTGGTTATAATAACCTGACTGATGAAAAATGAACGATCTAAAATTTTCGTCGAAACAACCAAACAAAATATATACAAAAATATATGAAAATACTATAATTATATTACAAATTTTCCTAATACTTTTGTATGTGATATTTTTCAAGAATAAGACCCCAAGACGCGTCGCAAATAAAGTAATGATAATACATACAACATCGAATTGATGCCATATAGCAAAAAAATGATGTATGGTGCGAATAACGGAGGTGTGCCCATAACTCTCACGCATTCATAATATGTCACGACCTTGCAAAGTAATATCATCGCTCTGATATCCTGCACGAGATAACGCGCGCGATAGTTTAGCTTTACGACGAAAGAATGGCGATTCGCCAACGAATCATTGTTTTATTTGCGTAGTAAATAGCACCTCAGCGCGTTACTGATGGCGAGAAAAAGTGGCAGTCTACCCTTAATTGTACGATTTATAGACAGCGGGTCGATCGCCCGTCGCGACGCCAAGCACGCGAACTTTACTGCCTTTAATATAGGCTGTAAAGTAAGCCGTCAATGCGTCAGGAATGCGAATAAATCAATTGTGATTTAATATTCATGAATCATCTGCCCTGAAAATCGCGCTCTTGTTATAGTTTATCTATAATATTTCCAAAGTATATTTTAGTTATCATGATTATATTATTAATTTTGTTTATTTTTAACGTGTGATTAACATTAATTATCGATATATTTTAATTGAATTAATTCGCATCATTTTCCAAACTATTTGATTTCGAGCGATATTTTCAATAATTACCACTACGTGTAAGTTATTAATCTGAACTTAACTTTGATATAGTATAATAATTCGTGTAAACTTGTAAAATTTATGCAATAAAAACATTTTATAGATGTTCAAATTGTACGTATAGTACAATATAATCAGAAAGTCTCAAATTGCCATTCGTGACTGTGTTCAATAAAGATCCTGTAGTAATGCGAGAATATCAGCTTCTAGAAAGCGGCGATTTTCAAAGTAATCGGAACAACCCCCTATGTGATGACCAAAAGGGTAGGGCCGGAGATAGGAAAGGGTGCGGCAGCCAATGATAGGTATTGTCCCATTTAGCTTAACTCAGTTTATTCAAGCTAAATGCGACCTAACCTGTGGTTTCTTTATTACATGCGCGATAACGAAAGATTAGCATCAGAAGAACAAAGCAATCGCAATGATACAAAGTATCATTTATATATTAATAATCTTGACACAACAGACAGATATTTGTTACTTATCAATGGAAGATAATTTAATCTTTAAATTCTTTTAATCTACAAATTCCTCAAGATTTAATAATGCTTCCCATATGTACAAAAAACGTCTTTTTGGAAAGGAAAAGACAAAAATTCTATTTAAATCACGTTAATAGTTTCGTAACTTTTTTTTTAAGTGAAGCATCAGGTTCAGAAAACATTATTGCCCACAACACAAAAAAAATATAAAAGTAATATTATAAAGTCATAATAATCAATACCCAGCGTTATAAACGTCGATATGTGAGTCTAAAGTTCAGGCGATGCATCTGATTTACGAGGGCAACTTGAAAAGTTTCTTAAGTCGGAAAGAAAACAACATTTTTTCGAAAAAGATTCATTTTATTTTTCAATATAATCTCCCTTTAATTCAATACACTTTGTCCAGCGGTGCTCCAATTTCTTCAAGCTGTCCAAAAAGTACGATGGCTGAAACTCTGTAAAATAGGTGTTCGTGGCGGCAATGACCTCCTCATTCGATGCGAATTTCTTTCCTCCGAGTCAAATCTTCAGGTTTGAGAACAAAAAGAAGTCGCATGGGGCCAAATCTGGAGAGTACGGTGGATGGGGCAGCAATTCGTATCGTAATTCAATTTTGCGGATGAATGGGATGGTGCGTTATCGTGGTGGAACAACACTTTTTTCTTGGCCAAATGAGGGCGTTTTTCCTTCAATTCTTTGTCGAAACGACCCAGCAAGTCGGCGTAGTATTTTCCCATAATCGTTTTTCCCTTTTCTAAGTAGTCGATGTGAATGATGCCTTCAGAATCCCAAAAAATGATGGCCATGACCTTCCCAGCCGATGGAACTGACTTGGCTTTCTTCGGGGGTTCACCAGACAAAGTCCATTGCTTCGACTGTTGTTTGGTTTTGAGTGTGTAATGGTGAATTCATGCTTCGTCCACGGTCACATATCGACGAAAAAATTCTCGTGGATTGCGCTTAAACTGATCCAAACACTCTTTAGAGATGGTCATACGCACGCGTTTATTCTTCACCGTAAGCAAACGCGGCACCCATCGCAACGTCAGCCTTTTCATACTCAATATTTCATGTAGGATATGAAATACCCGTTCTTCTGAGATGCCTACCATCCCTACTATCTCATGCAACTTCAAACAGCGGTCATTCATAACAATATCGAGCACTTTATTGA